GCAGAACTCAAATTCTAGTAAAAAGATCAGACTTAATGGTCTGACTGAGACTGGAGGTACCCCGGAAAGCATGGCCACTGGATTCTCTATCAGCCCCGAACTAAAACAATTTCTGAGGCCAACTCTTCAGACAGGGATTGGACTGGACTGTGGGACATAAAGTGATACCCGTAAGGAGTGTGCCTCTTAGCTCAAGTAGATACAAGAGACCAAAGGGGTAGCTTCTGTCCAGAGATGAGATGGGAAGGCAGAGAGGGTTAGGAGCTGGTTGAATGGACATGGGGAATCCGGGGCGGAAAGGAGGAGTGTGCTGTCACAGAAAGGAGTGAGCAATTAGGGTCACATAACAATGTATGTGTAAAATTTTGTACGGGAGACTAACTTGAAATGTAAACTTCATTTAAACTACAACAACAACAAAAAAGAGAAATTCCTGGGGCCACAATCTTAGGGGGCCCCCACACTATCATAGACTCTACCTCCAGAATCCCCACCTGGTCATCACTGTGAAGAGCCAGGAAAAATCACCTCATGTCTTTGACAGACGGAGGGGGAAAATAATCATGCTGAAATACACCCAGTGCATTCTCAAAAACTTGTTCTCCAGTGAAGACTTTATCAGAAACTTATCTCACATAGGCAGAAGGGCAGTTACCCAACTACAGCTCCCCCTAGCCTTTCTGTCTCATATAAGGGAGGGGAAAACAAAGCAAAAAAAAAAAAAAAAGAAAGGTTATATTTGTGAAGGTCACAGCCCAGGGAAAAATGCCCAGTAAAAGTTTGAGATTTAATCATAAGATTATAGATTGCTTCCCCTCCCTTACACTTTACCACTTCATCAACAGAGCTCTAAGAATAATAACATTGGATTACAACTAAAAGAGCTGCAATCCTCAGACTCTTTTCAAGAAGGTGTTCAGAGGTAAACCTGAAGACAATAGGGGAGATGAAAACAAAGACAGAGGATTTTGAAACCCTTGGCATCTATGGCTACAACAAATATTAAACACAGTCCAACCTAGATTAATATAAAACCCCAATCCCTATTACTCAATATATCGTGTTCAAGTTTCAAAAAAAAAATTACAAGGCAGGTAAAAATACAGTCTGAAAAGACAAAGCAAGCATCAAAATCAGACTTAGATATGACACAGATTTTGGAATTATCAGACAGAATTTAAAATAACTATGATTAATACGTTAAGGGCTCATGAACAGATAGAAACTCAGAGGATCAAAACGAAATGCTGTAAATAAAAAACATTATAAAAGAAATGAAGAATGCCTTTGATGGGTGCATCAACAGAATGAACATGGATGAAAAAAGAATCAGTGAGCTTGAAGATATGTCAATAGAAACTTACCAAACTGAAATACAAAGAAAAAAAGAATGAAAAAAACAAAACAGAGTATCCAAGAACTTGGGATAGTTTTGTAAAGTATAACATATGCATAATTGGAATGTCAGAAGGAGAAGGGAGAGAGAATGGAGCAAAAGAAATATCTGAAATAATAACAGCCAAGAACTTTCCAAAATTAATGACAGACACCAAACCAGAGATCCAGGAAGCTCAGAGAACACCAAGCAGGATAAATAAACAATATATACTTAGTAATACCACATTCAAACTGCAGAAAACCAAAGACAAAGAGAAAACCTTGAAAGAAGCCAAAGGAAACAAACTACCTTATATAGAGAGAAAAAGGATACAAATTACAGTAGATTTCTCACTATTAATTCTTCTCAGAAACCAGGCAAGCAAGAAACAAATGCAGTGAAGTATTTAAAGTGCTGAAAGACTAAAACCACCAACCTATAATTCTATTTCCAGCAAAATTATCCTTTAAAAGTGAAAAAGAAATGACAACTTTCATAGACACACACACACACAAAATAGGGAATTCATCACTGGCAGACCTACCTGCAAAAAATGTTAAAAGAAACTCTTCAGGGAGAAGGAAACTGATATAAGTCAAAAACACAAATCTACATCAAAAAGAAAAACAAAAGCACTGGAGAAGGAATAAACGAAGGTAAAATAAAATCTTTTTCTTAATTGACCTAATAGATATATGTTTGTTCAAAGTAATAATGTAATAGTAAGAATGTATTGTGTGATTACAGCATATACATAAATGAAATAAACGACAGCAATTTTATAAGAGACAGAAGGGAGGAATTGGAATAGGGAGGAATTGGGAATACTCTGCTAGAAGGTACTTCCACTACCCATGAAGTGGTATAGTATTATTGAAAAGTAACCTTAGATTAGTTATAAATATATATTGCAAACTCTACGGCAGTCACTAAAAAAAAAAAATTTAAAGAAGTATAATTAATATGCTGAGAAGAGAGAAAACAGAATCATAAAATACTCAAATAAAAACAGAGAAGATACATGGTATCACTGAATTGTACATGTGAAAAATGTTTAATTGTTAGCTCAGTGGTGAAGTCACTCCCGAGGTTCACCATTCAGCCGGGGATTGGACAGCCACATAAAACAAAACGAGACTAATGAGGCACAGCAGTCCAGGGACAACGACTAGAAGGCAGAAGGGGATGGGAAAGCTGGTGATAGGGAACCCAAGGTTGAGTAAGGACAGGGTTGACAGGTAGCAGGGTTGTTAACCATTGTCATAGGGCAGTACATGTACTAACTGTTTAATGAGAAACTATTTTGTTCTATAAACCTTCATCTAAAGTGAGAATAGCAGCACAACTGGAAGAATGTAATCGATGTCACTGAATTGTACATGTAGAAATTTTTGAAGTGGTGTATCTTTGGCTATGTAAATTTACACTAAAAAAAAAAAAGGTCCTCCAAGGTTGAGAAGGGAGAGTGTTGACATGTCATGGGGTTGTTAACCAATGTCATAAAA